TAATATATAGATGATAATACATATAAAGAATAATGAAATAAAAATAAAAATAAGAGAAAGAAATAAGCTAACACTGGTATCTTCATTCCTTTTTATTCCTCCACGATAGAATCATATATCTCTTTCCAAATCATCACGGAAGCATCCTATGCTCCACCTTTTTTTCTTAGCCTCTGTAATAACCGAAAATTTCTTGAGATCTATTCCATATTCGATGGCATACTGATAAAAGCAATTTTTGTTTGGATGAGTTGGTGAACGAGGTTCTGTTTCTCGAGATTTGTTCAACACACTTTTCGGTAAGCTCTGTATAGCAATTATAACTTTCTTCTGATCGATACGAAAAGGGCAATTAAGAAAATAGTGATCATTTGTACTTAGACAGCTCCAGTCACTCCACATACCTAAACATGTGTGTACTTCATCACATATCGGACATTTAGCTTCTGAATTGGTATATTTAAAAATATCTCGGTACCATGCATTTGATTTAGTGTAGGACAAGAAAGGGAAATGTTTATGTAATGCATCATGGATTATACCTTTCTCTTCTGGAAACTTGGAAATTTTGATAATACAGTCCTGTGAAAGGTGATTATTGGTCTTTTCAATTTGTGGGGATTCGGGAGTTTCAGACTTTATCCAGGGATTGAGTCCAGTCTCTTCTGTATATGCTCTATATAAGCTTAAACAAATTTTATCTGTCAAATGACTTGGTGAATCAACCAATTTAGCGTGCCAGTTTAAATATTCAGGAGTTAAGGCTTTATCCATGTTATTCTTTATATGATTGCAAATTCAAATTACAAGTTGTGCATAACAATTATAAAAAAAAAAATAAATATAGTATTGCAAAGCGATGGCCCCTCGGGTCTAACTAATTTACAAACGTTTGAAACCAGAAAACTTGTCACATAGTGACTATACCTAGATGACTTTATAATTTATGCCGTTATCTCAATTTCGCACTTTCCGCATATGATAAAATAGGATGATGTAGAACATCGAATCTCTGATTCTCCAGCTTCGTATCTACCTTTTACACTTTTCCCATTTTCATGATATAGTTTACATACTGGGCATAATGATCCCTCAATAATATCATAGTAATCAAATTTTTCAGTAATAAATGTTTTATATAGATCAGAATATCGCAACAATATCTTATTACGAAAGTAAGCATGGTCATGAATCTTATTTTCTGGCAACATATTATTAGGTGAAATACTTACCTCAGTTATATGAGTGCGTGACTTTTGGTCACGCGGTATAGCAATGAAATGCTTCTTAATTGTATCGATTTGCACGTCAGTTAACTTCGAGAGTTTATTTACACTATAAGTTTTAATTCGCTTAATTTTATCTTCTCCAATTGCGCTAAATAATTTGTATATAGGTTTAGTTCTTTGAGTTCTTTTACGCAAACTTATACGAGAAATACCTGAAAGATACTGTAACATTTCATCATAAATCTGCCCACTTGCTAAATCATAGGCTCTCTTATCATTTCTTTGGTTTTCGGATAAGATATCATCAAGTCTTTTTTCGAAATGCTTTCTATATTGGTACCAGCTCGTAATTTCTTTCACCTTGGCTCGTTTAGTATTATTTTCTGCCAAGCTTATTTTTTCAAATAGATGAACCAATTCGATTGCGAGTGATAGTTTATCTGTAGAATTTTTATCTACATTAACTTTAACGATATCTTCCACTAAAGGTTCTATTCTTAATTCTTCTATCAAAGGCTGTATGACTATTTCAGGGATTTTTGTTTTCTGTAAGTCCGTATTTTGTTCTGAGGATTCTTCAGGTAAATTAGGAGTGTTAGGAATAGATTGCGATTCCGAAATTTGTTTGACGTGTAATTCATCATGAGATTTTGGCGAGCTATCCGAATATGAGTTTTGGACTTGAGAAGCGGAAGCTTCATTACTCTGTAATAGCTTCTTTTCCCGATTCCTTTCTTTTATTTCGTTACGAATCTGTTCATTACGTTTTTCATTCAGAAAATTATCAATCCTTTTATCTTCAGATGATTTAAACTTTACACATATAGGTGGTATAGTCAAAGATAAATCGGAGACTTGAGACTGATATTCGTCAGAATTTGAAACATTATTGGATACATCAGATGTCGGAGCATCCTTATTTTGCAAGACCGCCTGTTCAGAGGTGTCATCAGAATTTTAGTGTCATCAGTTATATCAGATACCGGGGTATCACCACATTGTAGCACTATCTGTTTGAGAGTATCGTTAGATTTTACTGGGGAGTGCAAAACATCTTCCGTAGAAATACTTTTTTCTTCTTTTCCCTGTTCTAATATAGCGAGCCTAGTCTCAAGCTCTATAT